TTTTTTTTGTTTAATGTGCTTTTTTTTGATCATTTAAACATGAAACTTTTCAAACCTAATTCAAAATGTACTTACCGTGTTTAAAGTAGTGTTTTGTCAGGGACATGACAATGGATCTTGAAAGTGGTCATAGAAGAATGACACATTTTAAACATGAGAATATGAGCAACTCATTTTTGTTTAATGTGCTTTTTTTTGATCATTTAAACATGAAACTTTTCAAACCTAATTCAAAATGTACTTACCGTGTTTAAAGTAGTGTTTTGTCAGGGACATGACAATGGATCTTGAAAGTGGTCATAGAAATAAGAATGACACATTTTCATTTGTCTAATAGTGTGAAAGGATTCCTGAAGAGCGACGTTACGGCCTTCCGCTAAAGAGCATATACATGAGGCAAATAGACCACATGGTGGGGCTGTCCTGACATCAGTACTGTCCCTGGACATCTCAACACATACAAACCCCCTGGAGGGGTTCAATAACTCTCCAATAAGATAACTTTTCAGTCTCTTTTTGCACATGAAGTGGTCAACAAATCAACCAGTATCAGTTGTTGTGTTTTTGGACATAAAAGTTGTCTTCTATTTTTATCTATTGTCTTAATTTGGACCAGGTGTTTGGGTTTGGCTATGTATTCAGATCCAGTCAGCAAAGGTCCACAGCCTAAAAAAAAAAACACAGTCAGGGCAGTTTGGCTCTTCAGAATCCTAAAATGCATTGCAAAACTGCTTTTGATTCTTTGGGCTGATCAATTTCTATATTGTGCAATTGAGTGCGTTTACACACACTGTTACATGTTTACTTCAGTGCCATGTTTATTGAAACTATTCAAAAACAGTTGTTTTATATACACCTTAAAGGAACACACACAAAAGATGGGCTTAATTTAACACAAATCAAACTGTGTTCTGAAAATGTTTTCACTTTGCAATATGACGCATTCTTTATTTTTTTTTCATACTTTGTGCCTTGGTTTGCAAGGTGTAGAACACTGGCCTATTTTATTTTTTGCAAGATTCCTCATTTCCAGTTGTACCCATTCTGGTTTTATGCTGTCAGTGTGTTGTGATGAAATTGGAAAGGTTTTGTTATGTCGCATACATGTGTGGTAAGGTTTGAAATCTCCACTCCTATGTTATTTTGACAGAACAAACCTCATAATTTGGTACATTTTACACAGCAGGACGAGGAAGTGCTGTAGATTCTCTCTCAATTAGGTCTGGACATCTAGTAATTAGTCTCCGCTCTTCTATTTTGTATGTAAACAAATATGCATATTAACAGTGAAATACATCAAAATTGTGACATTTTTTGGACCAAATATTAAATTTAACAAAAAAACATGTGCCTTTAACAAATTTAATTTTTCTTCAGTCCTCAGGATCAGTAGTATGCCAAAATGCAGTCTCTGATAATGCAGAGGTGATATGCATGTGCTGTGCAAGTAACGTCATTAACTCTTTTAATGCTTAATTGTTGGTGCAAAAGTTTTCCGAACAAAAGTCAGAAATAAGGGATTCTGAGAATGATCAGTATAAGAGAAGAATTCATTTCTTTGGTATTACAGATTATAATTTCCTTGGGGCACATACACAGAGAGGATACTCTCATAAATGGGTTATATTTATTAAGATTTGTTTTTATCAGATGCAAGTATTATCTAATTAAAGTTGATCAGATTAATGTTGATCTTGTTGATTTCATTATGATTTAACCTTTAGTCCAAAGACTAAAAAAGACATAAAGGTGGATGTCTACACTGCATTGTATCAAATCAAAAACCATGACTTTGCAAAACTCTTTGACAGTCTAGCTTGATGGAGCTGCAAAAGACATTAAAAAAACGCAATGTTTTTCACGTCAGTTAGTGGTACAGTCAGGTCTTGATATTCTTAAGTAAATGTTCTGGGTTAAACGCAATTTAAACCGCACAGGTACTGTAGCATCTCTGGCTTACAATCAATCATCACAGAAAACAAAGTTATTTTCTGTGATCAATAAGTTGTAGTTAAACCTCTCAAAATTAATAAACCTGGATATACTGGTGTTAAGAGGCTTCAATTTAGCAGGTTTTATAATATATACAAATCGATGATAAAAATCTATATTCATAAAATGATTAATTAAAATATAAATCATTCTCAAGAAATATTATGTAAGTGTATACTAAACACTCCACAATCCCAGTGTGGTTTCAGTTCTTCATTGGTTTGCTTCTTTTCAGGACACTTAAAGGACAAACACAACAGGTTCTACAGAAGCTTTATTCGTTCAATTTACATTTGCATGGTTGTAAATGGTTTTGCAGTCAGTTGTGCCCTTTTAATCAATATTTGATTTTGTAATTTATACAATTCACGCAAAAAGTGTGTTCTTTGTCTCTCAGCTAGCTGCTCCTGAGCTAAACAACTTATTACATGCTGTCTTTTCATCAAAGCCATCCATCTTACATAGAGATTCTGATCATGAGACATAACATGATATAACTCAAACTTTATATAAAATAAAAGAGAACTTTGTTTCCCGGTAAAGTCGCAACTTTTCTCAGTCAGCTTAAAAGTATGAACTTGACACAGTAACTGCTATAAAGTACTCTTGCAAGAAGGTGCTGAAGTGCATATATGCAGGTGTTTCAGAAGGATAGTTATTTGGTTTACAGCTGCGTGAAGTGTAGTCGCAAATCTACAGGATAGATCACTGCAAAAACTAAGAGAGTCAAACACCCTTCATATATGTGTTGCTATATATGACTTGCTGCTATGAATATGTATTAGACTCTGTTTAATTATGTGCAGTGTGTTTAATCAGATGTAGATCCCAACAGCAAGAATATAATTTCTTCTTCAAGATTTAATCAATTCAGTTCCCTCATGTATTTGCATGTATGTGTGTGTGCACTGGAGAATTCCTCATTACCTATACAATGGTATAGGGGCAATGGGTCAGTATTGGGTTTTGTTGATTAAGCTGCTCTGTAAAAGAAGAAAGAAAACTTTTTAATTATACCATATGGAAATTATAGTCACGTTTAATATACTACAACAACACTTTATATTATTACTCAATATTTATGATTTTAAATTATAATCACCTCTTCCCACAGATGGCTTGTTTAGAAGAGACCGCAGTCTTTGAGATTTTCTTTGATGATAATGTCTGTTACGGCATCGAACACAAACTTGACGTTCTCTGTGTCTGTGGCACAGGTCATGTGGGAGTAGATTTCTTTGATGTCTCGCCGCAAGTTCAGATCTAAGAACTGCATCTTGATGTAGTTACCAGCATCCTCAAAGGTGTTGGGACCTGAGAGAGGCATGGCATTGTAATTTTAGCATGGTTTTGCATATCAGAAACAGAAGCCTAATTAGGATATTTGTATCTTAATAGAAGTGATGTTCCATGATGAACCCCTACTTAAAATGTGTTAATATTATCAGTTTAAATAATCTGTTTAAATGATAAGAATCTGTATGTTAAAGAATGAAGTTTATATTTTTGTTTGCAGACAAAATGCTGTCTCACCATCATAATCAGGGAAGCACATGCTCAGATGAGCTTTCTTGATCTTCTCCACGAAGACGTCCTTCTTGTTGAGGAAGAGTACAATGGAGGTGGCGGCAAAGTAACGGTGGTTACAGATACTGTTGAACAGGTGGAGACTCTCATGCATTCGGTTCTTTGGTTGGAACGGCATGGAAAAACAGGGTTTGTTACTAAAATGCCTCATAGTAATAATAGTGCATGTAAAACGTCCGGTTGGAGTTTCATTGATGGACCACAATTGCAACCTACCACTTCATCATCCTCCACCAGCACCATGTCGTATGCGCTCAGAGCAGCGATGAAGATGATACAGGTCACACCTTCGAAGCAATGGATCCACTTCTTCCTCTCCGAGCGCTGACCGCCCACATCAAACATCCTGCAGACCACGAAGATCAGTTTATTGGCATTGGTGTCCATTCAAACTTATCTTATTCAGTTCCTCTGATTGTTAAACTTGCTTGGAATTTTGAGATGATGATGATGATGATGATGATGATGATGGTCATTGGTTGGTTTACTTCATGCCATAGCTATCATTGAGGAGGCTGAAGGTGTACCTGAAGTTGAGGTCCTTGAAGGAGAACTGGGTCTCGATGATACCGGTGGTCTTCACTCTTGATCGCAGGACGTCCTGTTCAGTAGGGACATAGCCAGGCTTGACCAGCCTCTCCAGGTCATTCAGATAGCTTGGAGATAGAGTAAGAATCAATGCTGTATTTTTCAAGACAATTTGATTACTGATTTGATTATGGACCTTAAAACCTTGCTAACTGGTATTTAATGCTTTAAAAGGCTAATTATGAGGCCATACTATCCGGCAGAGTCGTTGAGCTGGTATTCGGAGGCTCTGTCAAAGCACGCCTGGATGCCCGAGTCCTTCCACAACCTCAGGATGATGTCAGACAGCTCCTTTGGCATGGTGCCTTCCTCGATGGTGTCTGCTAAGTGCATCAGCTTCCTTGCATCATCCTGCAGCAAACAGGTAAATTGATGTAATAAATGATTTGTTCAATTAGTCATGGCAACACATCATGTTTTTACGTCAAAATAATTTAACTTCATTTTTGAAGCTATACAAGATTAAACTTTTTTTCAACGTTTTTAAATTTAAGAATGTGGAATTTCTTTTTACATATTTATCAGCTTGTATGTATTTGGGCCGTTGTAACTAAAGGTGTTTAAGCATTAGCTACTATACAAACTTTTCTAAAGTGATGATCAGTGACTGTAAATACTGTAAAATCCTTCATCATTACATTTACATTTAGTCATTTAGCAGGCGCTTTTATCCAAAGCGACTTACAAATGAGAACAATGGAAGCAATCAATATCAACAAAAGAGCAATAATATGCAAGTGCTATAACAAGTCTCAGTTAGCCTAACGCAGTATATATATATATATATATAATACATAAAAAGAAAACAGATAGAATAGAAAAAGAATAGAGCAAGCTAGTGTTAGCTTTTTTGCTTTTTGTTAATTGTATAATAAATAAAAGAAAACAGAATACAAAAAGAATAGAGAAGCTTGTGTTATTTTTTTTTTTAAAGAAAACAAGCAGTTAGTAAATTAATAGAGTGCAAGTCTAAAAGGGCCCAGTTTTTTTTAAAGACTAGAATTAGAAGAGAGAGTGCTAGAGTAAGAGGGTCAAGTAAAGGTCATCATGATTTAATAGTCTCTTTTAGATGTGTAACATTCATGATCTCCCCTATTAATCAGTTTTTAAAAATCCTTCAATTATTACAATTTTGTTTTGTGGTATACAAGATAATACTAATTTGGTCTTTCTACTTAAACATTTCACATTTAGTTCAGTGTGTTTCTATGAGAGAAAACTGCTTCAAAGGAGATCCTACACAATTTTTTTTTTTCATTGCATGAGCTTTAAAAAAAAAATGAACACATCCTGGAGTTATAATTCATTGGATACTATAGTGTGAATTTAGTAATTAATCTGGGACATCTACGCTTTGTTTTCACAATAAACAATTCAGTTACAGTTTTTTTCTGTTGTACATGTATTTAAAAAATACCTGTATGCAGTTATATCTGTTGAACCTCTCCCTGCCCCTACCAAACAATTAATGTTTTTTTACATACACAAATATTTAAACACACCTACTATAAAGTGGGATCTTATATTTTTGCACAAGGTACCATGTTGTTTTTATCATGTGCGTATGATAATCATTCAATACCAAAGTATTACCATCTGATATACTCATTGTGCCATGGTATCACTACAGTTCTTTTCCATCATTTAACCTGTTCATTTCTGTAAGTGACTAATGGGTAGAGCACCTGTGCAGCAGCATCTCCATAGGAAAGGTTGAGTGTGCTCATGGCCCTCACAATGGCCAGGATCGACTGCATGGTGTTGCTGTAGATGATGACAATGAACTCCAAGCACTCTTCAAGGGAGTAACCATCTTTGTGAATAATTCTGTCATAAAAAAACAACAACATTGAATTCATTTAACTGGCCAAACTATTCATATGAAAGAGCTCTAATTACGAATTAATAATGAGTATAGTCTCACATATAAGCCAATTTATGGTATTATCATACTTATTTTTTCTCAGCACTTACTTCATCTATTTGACAATAGTGCTTTTCCCCGACTCACCAGCACCTGAAGAAGATAGTAATCAGTTTAGTATTGCGATTATTGCTTTAATTCATTTTATTACACATTCCCGTGCTGTTCAATAGTTAGTTGTTGGTACGATTTTTAAATGTTTTTGAACAAAGTCTCTTATGCTTACCAAGGCTGCATTTATTTGATCAAATATACATTAAAACCAGTAATATTGTGAAATTATTACCATTTAAAATTACTATTCTTATTCTAATTTTAATATATTTTGTAATGTAATTTATTCCTGTGACGGCAAAGCTGAATCTTCAGCAGTCCAGTCTTCAGTGTCACATGATCCTTCAGAAATCATTCTAATATGCTGATTTGGACCTCAAGAACTATTTCTTTTTATTACCAATGTTGAAAACAGTTGTCCTGCCTAATATTTTTGTGGAAACTGATAAATTTTTTCAGGATTCTTTGATGAACTGACATAACAGAACAGTGTTTATTTACTGAAATAGAAATGTTCAACATTAGACTTTGTCTTAAAATTTCTT